ACACTGTGAATGGTAGTCTCATCTCACACATATGCATATCAGAACCCAAGCAAATCCTTCAGGAGACCCTGCAGACCTTGACATGGTCTTCTCTCTTCAACCAGCTCCTGTCTTATGAGAGTAAGTGCTTTAGCCTCCCAGGATGTTGAGCTCTGTCTTCTCAATGTGTTGTGTTTGTCTGTGAGACCCTGAAAGTTAGCTTCCCAATGTGAAACAAAATACCTTAAACTGTCAACTTAGAAGCACAGGTTCACTTAGCTTTATGGCTTCAGCCTTGGAAGCAAATGGGGACGGGGGCAGGGTACCTGAAATTCCATAATCTAGTTTAAAGTGCACCCATCCCCAGGGATCTAATATTTCCCACTAACCCCCACAGTATATGAGGTCCCACCACCTTCCAATAGCACCATGCTGAGGAGTAAGCACTTAAGACACAGACTTTGGAGAACCCTCCAGTTCCAGACCATGGGATGGGATAATGGTGCTATGGGACAGATGTTCAGTATCTGCAAAGTATCAGTTTAAATTTATTGCTCAGTGCTTACTTGTTTAATACAGAAGGTTAATTTCTTTTTGTTATTCTCTTCCAGCAGAAGCATGCATTCAGTTAATTATTTCATTGCTATAAAATAATATTTTCTTATGTTTGTCATGTGAAAAAGAAAAAATAAGTATAATAATGAAAACACAAAAGGGCTAGGAAGATGACTTGGTGTTGGGTCTTAGGAAAGTTGAGAGGAATTGGAAGGAGAAATAGAAGGATTCTAAGAGCCAGAGGTGGTTAGTGATTGAGAAAGCATGAAAACTAAGTTCAGCTCCCATAACACATGTAAGATCAGATTCAGAAGTGTCCATATGTAATCTGAGCATTTCCAAAGTAGAAACAGAATACCAGGAAGCTTATGGGTCAGCTACAAGAAACCCTGCTGAGGTAGAATGTGAAGACTGACACCCAAGTTGTCATTCGACCTCCACAGGTATGCCATGGAATACATATGTTTCCATTCATATGTAGTGACCAGTCCCCCATTTTAGCAGCCATTACAGGCTACCATGTACTTGCATGACCTTGCCACTCCTGTGCTGGTCACTAAGGTCAAATGCCCTCCTCGTGTCAAGGAACCAATCAGAAGTTAGCTGGCGGGGCTGTGCTTTACGGCTCTGGGTGTGCCTTATGGACCTTACACAACAGTGACCTGCAGAACATAGCAACCACCCTGGGAGGACCTATGGGCCATAACAACCAGTTGACCAATCAACACAGGGCGGGTCACCCAAACCTGGACATGCACCAATCCTGAGACTGTTTCATACTCCTAGACACTCCCCTTACACTGCCCTTTAAGATCCCTGCCTCAAGGTTGCTTGGGGTCTTTCTCCAGCCATTCCCCATGGTGGCAGGGTGAAGGGCCGGAGCTAATGGGGTTAGCTCGTTAAACATCTACAATAAAAGACTCTTTGCTTTTGCATCAAAATGGGCCTCTTGGTGATTTGGGGGTTCAGAATTTGGGCACAACGCACACACACACACACACACACACACACACACGCACACATAAATTTGTATTATATTCATGTGTAGTGATATATCATTTATGATTTTTAAAGCTTGACTGAGGATTCAGAAAAGTAAAGTCAGTCTCAAGCTTTAGAGATCAGGCAGTGGTGACACACACCTTTAATCCCAGCAGCCAGAAGCTAGGAGGTGGTGAGTACACACCTGTAATCCCAGGACTCAGGATTGAGAGATAGATGGATCTCTGTGAGTCCCAGGCCACCCAGATCTACACAAGAGTGAATCAGTCTGAAAGAGAATTATAGCTCACACATTTAATCTCAACATTCAGGAAGTACATAAGACAGAAGCAAGGTCTCAGGCATTCATTCACCAGCCACGCTGAGGCTTGGTGAGACCTTGTGGAGATAGGACCAGCCCATTCATTCTGAGGTAGAGGTAAGAAACTAGTGACCAACTGCTTTGTTTTTCTGATATTCAACTTGAAGCTTGAACCCCAACATCAGTCTCCAGGTCATTTATTTATTTGTGTCATATTCATGCAACTCTGAAAAGTTCGCGTTCACAAACATGCACACATATGCACGGCCCTTGTGTATATTGTTCTGAAATAGGTATTAGAGAAAAATCTCTTAGTAGATAAAATATAGAAAGACATGGACTGGGAAGGAAAGCACTAGCAAAAATACCTAAAGAAAAGAAAATCAGAGACAGTGGTTGCTTAACTATACAAAAGGCAATATTTTTCCATATCCATACTAAATCAGTTTTGTGCTTTTGTAGCTGTGGTAGTTTGAATGTAATTAGCCCCCATAAGCTATAGGGAGTGGCACTATTAGGAGGTGTGACTTTGTTGGAATAGGTATGGCCTAACTGGAGGAAGTATTTTATTGTGAGGGAAGGCTTTGAAGTCTACTATTCTCAAGCTATGCTCAGTATAGACAGAGTTCACTTCCTGTTTCCTGCAGAGCAAGATGTAGAACTCTCAGCTCCTTCTTCAGCACCATGTCTGCCTTCATGCCACTATGTCCCACCATGATAATGGACTAAACCCCTGAAACTGTAAGCCACTCCAGTTAAATGTTTTCCTTTATAAGAGTTGCTATGGTCATGGTATCTCTTCACAGCAATAGAAACCCTAATTAAGACAGTAGTTCTATTCTTCAAAACACCAAACCAGAGTCATAAACTCAATCTCTCTTACAGATAATGCACTACTTTAGTACATTCTTACGTCTATAATGAAATTATACATTTATTTTTCCTTTTTTATTAGTTTTTTTTCACACAATACATTTTATCATGCTCCCCCCAAATCCCCTCTACCTTCCTAAGCAACCAACTTCATGATCTTTCTCTTTCTCAAAAACAAACAATAACACTAGTATCAATTCAAAACAAATAGAAATCAATAAAACAAAAAATATACAAACAAAACAAAAAATCCACAAAAAACAACCAACCAACAAACAAACATGGGATCCATTTTGTGTTGGCCAACTACTCCTGGGCTTAGGGCCTGCCATATAGTGTGGTTAATGTATCCAGTGATCCTCCATGGAAGAAACCAATTTTCTATTTCCTATCAGGTATCAAATGCAAATAGCTTTCTGGTTAGGGGTGGAACTTTGTGTCCACTTTTCCTTTTCAGTGTTGGTATTCTATCAGTCTTGAACCTGCAGAGGTCATGTGCATGAAGCCACAGTCTCTGTGAGTTCATATGGCCTGTTGTGTCTGGAAGACACTGTTTCCTTAGGGTCATAACTACCTCAGGCTCTTAGAACCTTTCTGCCCTAACCTTGGGGACGATGGAGCTTAATGAAGATATTCCATTTAGGACTGAGTGGCCCAAAGTCTCTCTTCCAGTTGTGGGTCCACATGTTAATTCCCACCTATTGCTGGAAGAAGCTTCTCCAAAGAGAGCTGATCTATGTCTATGAACTATGTAATTTACAAATTACAGAAATATATCTCTTACATTCCCGAAGGCTGAAAAATTCAAGATCAAAGCACCAGCAGACTCACATTCAGTGAGGGCTTTTGCCTTACAGCATGTCTCATTTCCTCACAGCAGAAAGGACAAAATGGATATCTGAATAGCCCTGGGCAGGAGGGAGCAGAATTGCTGCTTGTACTAAAGTTACTTCTCAGAAATCCCTGTTTTGAATGTGAGCAAGAAAACACAACAAAATACAAGTTAAAATAACTGGTCTGAGAATTGCTTGGTGTTTTGGCTAATCCTGCCTCCTGACATAGTTCCTCCACCCTGTGGTGCCTGGTGTTCCCCCAACCACTCACACAACTGAGACACCTTCCTAAGTCAAACAGGCTTGTATTCTCTCAGCAGCACACATTCATCCTTGGTGAGCCAGGACCAGGCAAAGTCATGGGCAGAGAGCAAGGAGTCAGTGAGACCATGACTTGACACCTGATGATGTGCTATGTAACCAACACCCACTTTTTCACCTGTACAGTCAGAGTATTGATTCTTAGAGACTGATGTAAGGCTTATTCATGGTAGCATGTAGATGCTCTGCTCTGGGCTTGACACACTGAGAGTGAATCGTAGCAATACTACCTCATCTCTTGTATATTTTGTCCCTGGAATCTATTTGACAGCTTTAAAAGTGTTCTGGTACACCCCAGATGTTCTGCCATTGATGTACAATGACAGTTGCAAATACTTGAATTAACCCTTCCTTCTTGAATAGCTGACAGACAACAATGGTTTATTTTATTTGAATTACTAACAGTATGGAAATAAAACACTCCTTATTATACAAATCTGTATATACCATCGAGTTTTTTTTTCTTTAAAGAGAGAGTTCTGTGTATTCTCAGTCCTGTGGTTTTTGATCTGACTTGTGGCTCAATGCAGAGAAATACCAAGGCCCCAGAGGCCCCCTAATCTTGTCAGAGTAGATAACTAGAGGGAAACAATGTGTTCTGAGCATTCTCCCCAGCACTCCTAGAGGGTCTTATCTTATGCACAGTCTATCACCCATAGCTTGTAACATTAGCCTTACATGAAAAGTGTGAAAATCTCTGGTTATTCTCAAACTGTGCTAACATTTCTGCAAACTGCTTCTCCCACTGGAGTCTAAACATGGCTGGATCAGGTCCTCTGTTTCTACATGTTAAGATGCTTTCAGCAATCAAGCATGTCATTGTCCTGTTAAACAGAAAGTAAAATCCTGGTTCCATTCTGAATACCAGATCTAGTACACTGTGACTTTAGGAACTACTACATGTAGTCCCTATTTTGACAGAACTCCATACCAAACAACTTAGCAAAAACTTATAGCTGTGTTCTCAACCCCCTCACACTAAAATGATTTTGTAATTGTACAAAAAAAACCCACCAACACCAACACCCCCCCCCAAAATCCTTGTCACACAAATGAAATCAAACACACTGGACAGAAAAAAAAATATGATGGTTTGAAAATAATGTGCTCTAGGGTGTCTTCATTTTTTCCCCCAGAGAAAAAAGTGAAAAGAATACAAAAGTCAATAAAGAGCACATCCTGGAAACTTATGACATGGAAGAGTACAATAAAAATGGAAGCCTTGATTTTGAACACAAAACTACATAACTCTCATGTAAGTAGTGATAAATGAATTTTTGGTAATATAAAGTCACACATGGGACACAATAATCAGCATAACTTCTTAAGAATCATTATATTTTGTTCAGATACTCCCTTCCCCAAATAACTGTAGTTGGAGCAATTCAAGTGAATCATCAACTAACTAGAAAGTTTTAATAGTAATTGGTACTTGTTTTAAAGAATAAATATCTATATCCAATTATTAGCTAATGATGTATTTGTGTTTATAATTTCAAAAAGATAATTATTATATCAAAATTTTTTTTACAAATTCATTGTGGGTCCAACCAGCTGAATAGAAGATGTCTTTTTAGTGGTATAGAAATAGATTTTCCACCATCTTTATCTTTTCAGAAATTATAATTATTAAAACTGCTTTATTAGCTTACTCCAATTAATACTCTTTATTTTATAATGTAAGCATCCTTCTGAACTGAGTGTCTGCTCTTGGGAGAAAGGGACCAAATGTTTTAAAATCTAAGAATGAATTTGACATATTGTTTTTGGTATATCGGTAGTGAGAAGTGATGTTTCCACATGTGTGTAAGGAGGCATGTACCCTTGTGCTCACGTGTGGAGGTAAGGACAGGACATGAGCTATCTTCCTCTATGGCTCTCCACCTGATTACCTTCAGATGGTGAGGTGCTTTCTCACAGAACCAAAGCTCAGTTTTTTTCCAGGCTGGCCAGACAGTGTGCTTTCAAGATCGACTTGTCTCTCATTAAGGAGAACGACAATGCTGGGGTTAGAGTTGGGGGTTGAAACTCAAGTCCTTATGCTTGTAGAGCAAAGCTCCTTGACCACTGTACCATCTCCCCAGCTCCCTTGATTCAATTTAAAAAAGCATACAGCTGAATGTAATTATATCTAATGAGGCTGTAGTTTGCAAATAATATATTAGAGGAATAACCGCGTTAGGAAACCATATTAGTTTATATTCTGAGGAGTTCTATTTTTAATGTTTTGATTAAGATTCATCTCATCTTCATGTTCCAAGTAACAATTTTTAAGAGGTTAATAAACTAAAGGAAATAGTTAGACATTTATCTAATTTAGACCTCAGAACACTAGCTATGAGAGGACATGTTCCTTGTCAAAACTTGTTTATCAACAAAAGGAATAAATTATTCTTAAATTACCATATAAGGAACTAAGCCACAGGCTGTTGACATTTCACATTCTATTTCAACATGAGATTATGTACTTGATCAATTAACTACATGAGTGAACAGCTCCCCAAAGTAAGATTTCTTGGTTGAAAATCAAGTCCAAAAGCTCATGTGGTAATCAGACACGCAAATAAAAACTGCTAAGTATGTGGGGAGAGTTGAGACTTGCTTAAGAAGGAAGCAACTGGGTACAGCCTTTCTTCTTGAGCCTAAAAGCAAATCACATTACAGACTAGTAGATTAAGTGTATCAGAGGAAGAACACTGTCAAAAATGAAAAAAATAAAACACTTTATCCCTTAGAAGGGGCTATTACTGGGTCAGCAAGAAGGCTCAACAGGTAAGGATGTTTGGATGTTTGCTGCCAAGGCTGACAACCTGAGTTCCATCCCTAAAACTCTGTGTTAGTTAGGGTCTCTATTGCTGTGACTCTTATAAAGAAAAACATTTAATTGAGTGTCTTACAGTTCAGAGGTTCAGTCCATTATCATCACGATGGAATATGGTCGTGTATAAGCCATCATGGTGCTGGAGAGGTAACTGAGAGTTCTACATCTTGCTCAGGCAACAGGAAATGGTCTGTGACACTGGGTGTGGCTTGAGCATGTATGAGACCTCAAAGCCCACCTCCAGAATCACATACTTCCTCCAACAAGGCCATACCTACTTTAACAAGACCACACCTTATAATAGTGCTACTCCCTTTTGGGGGCCATTTTCCTTCAAACTACCACAGACCCACATGGTAGGAGAGAAATGATTCCTGCAGGCTGTTCTCTGATGCCCGCATGTGCTCCACGGTGCAAGCACACACATTCTCTCCCTTTCTCTCTCTACTTCTTCTTCCTCTTCCTTTTTCTCCAAATTAATACACAATGTGAAACACAATGACATCCAGATACCTAAATAATTCCCACATTTTAACAAACTTTCATAGACAACAGCCTGCCTTTATTCAAATTTTATTTCTAGAATGTTTCTTACATGACTAAATTGAGATGTGAATACTAATTGATGAACTCTTATGTATTGAAGTTGAAAATTAAATTTCAAACCAGTTTCTATACGAATATCTAAAAACTTCTAGACTTGCAAGTTATAATACAAGGTTAGGTATGTTTTTACATTTTGAAAGGATAATGATGAAATACTAATTCTTCCTTTGAACAACTTCAAGGACCTCAAAAAAGAACCCCACCTCCATGACATATGTAGATTAAGTATTGTGTTCATAAGAGTTCTTCACAGAAATGACTATTCAATGTAATGACAAGTTATACTTGTCAACTTGACACCATCTAGTCTCTTAGTTAGGATTTCTATCACTGTGAAGAGACATCACACTGCAACATCTCTTATAAAGAAAAACATCTCATTTGTGCCGACTTACAGGTTGAGAGGTTTAGTCCATTGTCGTCATGGCAGGAATCATGGCAACATACAAGCAGATAAGGTACTCGAGAAGGAGCCCAGAGTTCTGCAGTCTGGATCAGCAGGAAAAGAAAGAGAGTGAGCCACTGGGCATGGCTTGAGCTTCTGAAATCTCAAAGCCTACTCCCAGTGACAGACTTCTTCCAACAAGGCCACACCCACTCCAACAAGGCCACACCTCCTGATAGTGCCAATTCCTATGGGCCTATGGGAGCCATTTTTATTCTAACCACCACAGCTGGGAAGGAACCTCAGTAAGGTCTAGATTAGTTTGGCCTGTGGCTGTAACTGTGAGGAATGTTTTAAGTGGGTCAGTTGAGATGGGAAGCCTCAACCTGAATGTGAGCGCCATTTCGAGCACTGGGATCTGCCATGGATAAACAGGAGGGAGCAAGTCGAACACTGGCAGGGGGACACGGCAAGTTTGAACACAGCAGATTTGACGGTGTGCCTCAAGTGTAGTCTGAAGCCTTGGTTTCCTGAAGGCTGGTGTGCAATTCTGGTCCAGAGGCTGGCAGCCTGGGGTGCCAAGCAGAGTCGAAAGCTCAGTCTGGAGACAGTCAGGCCACAGGAATTCTGTTGCTAGGTGAAGGATCAGCCCTTTTGTTCTCATCAGACCTTTCACAGACTGGATTAGGCTCACTCATGCTACGGAGGGCGTCTGCTTTAGGCAACCTACCAATTTAAATGTCATTTTCAAATAAAGCACCCTCACAGAATACCCGGAGTAATGTCAGACTGAATATGTGGGCACCCACTGAGTCAAGCTGACACATAAAGAGAACTAGCGTAAGTATGTCTGAGACTGTTGGTCCCACTTCTCCCCCGTGGTAGCCAAGCTGACGTAGTGAAGAAGCGCCAATGAATGCTGAGGTGTGGCGCTGCCTTCCTTTGAATCCCATCTCCCTAACTTACTTCCAAGGTAACCTTGGATAGGGTATTGCTGTATGTTTATGATAATCCTCCCTCACCCACCCCTGTTCAGTTTTTATTGTTTTATTTAAGCATAAAGTGAATGGACATGTGACCTGCCTACTCCCTTTCTTTATTGACAACCTGAGGCAGGACTGTGATTGACAGTCAGCTAGGGGGTGGGGTGGGGGCTGGCTCTGTCTTTGAGGGCTTTATGTTTGTTGGAAAAACCAATGTAGTAATCTTTGACCATAAGGTACTGTGCATACCAATAACATTGGAATCCTTGACTTTGTGGGATAGGATAAGGTCACTGAAAGGTGTATGGTTGCTTTCTGTTGCTCTAGTAACCAATACTGGGATGGAGGTCTGGCCCTTGAATTTCCTTCACTCTCCTATCAGTGCCTCTGTGCTTAAAACATTTATGCTCCATTTTAATGCATGGGTCTGAATGATGCAGATGAACTTCTCAGTCCTCTCTTGTGTATCTGTTTGGTTTTTGTTTGTGTTTTTGAGACAGAGTCTTACTATGTAGTTTAGGCTGGCCATGAGCTGTTGATCCTCTTGTCTCTAACTCCCAACTGTTGGGATTGTAACTATGGAGCCCCACACCTGTCTTTCAGTTCTCATTTTGTTGATCGTGAGCTCCATGGGGAGTCTGAGAGTGGTCATTATTCCGGGGACAATGGGACTTGCTGGATAGATGGAAACTTTAGACCTGTGGCCAGCTGCTGCAAATTCACCCTGTAAACAGGTTCTTTGAATCGGGCTGGAGTTGGGCAGGGCACAGGAGGTGATAGAGACTGAACCCAGAACCCACTCTCATTTAATTGATTAGTAAATTATGAATAAATAGTTAATAAATTTCTCATCTCATAGTTCATATTTAAAGAACAAATGAGCTATTACATGCAAAGCATCTAAAGGGGAAGTGGAAATGTAGGTAAGAGTCTCCAATGATGCGTCAGATTACATAAAATTCATTTGCATAAAATTATTTTATTTATTTATTTATTTATTTATTTATTTATTTATTTATTTATTTATTTTGAGAGTGTGTCACTACATAGGCCTGCCTGGACTAGAACTTGCTCCGTAGACTAGACTTGCTTTGAATTTAGAGTTCGGCCTATTTCTGCCTCCCGAGTACAGGTAGCATGAGATTCTTTGTTCAATCACTGCTTCGTGTATTCACTGCTTATAGTCGACTTCCAAGTTTCATAATTAGCTACAACGTTCTGTTCCACTTTCTCCTAAGAGTTTTTCCCTTAATAAATGTGACACATTCGCCTACTTGAATATTTGAGCACATTCATAATACAAACATATCTTATATCACTGTTGGTTTATATTTTTATATGACTGTTGGCCTATATTTTTTTTGACTGGAATGTGTCTGTCATCGAGAGAAAACCAACAAAAACAAGAGAATCCCAGGATGAGGACATAACTCAGCA